CCTATTTTTCTTTGTTAATATTCACAGTATCTTCGTTGCTATTTTCAGTTTCGGTTTCGCTTAAAATGACAGTTTCGAATTCTTTTTAATTAACAGTTTCGTTTTCGCTTATTATTCTATCGGTAATATTTTATATACGTCACTACTTTATTTGGTCTTATTCATTAGTCTGCTGTTTCTCTAAAGTGTTGTTAAGATCATTCCTTCTGATATACGATTTTTCATGTACTGATTTTTCAACCATTTCTATGCCAATTCATTGGCTTCCAATCCTATATTTATTACTTTTGTGGATTTTTCCTCTATATGATTCCTAAACAACTCAGATTTTTTAACTGTCATTTTCATTTTTTTACACCTTCCTCCAAAGAACAATTTGGAAGGAGCAAGATCAAACTAGCTACAGGAAAGCATTATACTCAAGTATTCTGTATTTGTTACCTCTGGCTGAGCTACATTATTAAATATTCATTGCAATCGCCACTCCTTTTTCTGCTAACCGCCAACGAGCAAGCTCGACTTGGCAATAAGTTTTGCTTTTCAAATCAATTGTGGTTCCCTTGATGACGAATTGCATCCAATTATGGAGCATGGCTTCAGACTCAAACGTCATGAAAAGTCCAAAAAGTCCAAAAACGGGCGCTGCGTATGATTGCAGATGCCCCTTGGTACATCAGGAACGACACCTTGCTAATGTCCTCCACATTACCTCTGTTAGGGAACAGATTAACCGGCACTCGAGTCGGTACAATGAACGCCTTACAGCTCACACCAACCACCTAGCAGCTTTCTTGGTCAACCCAACAATTAGAAGAAGACTGAAGCGAAGGCACCCCGGCGATCTCTGGACAAGAGGATGTCACATTTCTCGAGTCCGTTAATGTTTTTGCTCAATTGTTATAAAAAACAAGGAAGAACGCTATAGTCGAGTACCTCGACTATCAGATACCCGTTACTCAGCTAATGGGACCAAAGGGAAATGGAGATATGAAAGCAGCAAAGCGAGATTGAAATGCGCGACCTACCGGCGGTACACAGATTTAAGCGTTAAGGGCGTTAGAGTATGCGTGGCAAATTTTTTTTTTGATCAAACGATAGGTATTGACGATACCAATACATTTCAGTTAAAATTTTGTATCTAGCATGAAAATTGTGGGCGCCACTGGCTTGGGCGGTTTGTGGGCGTTAGAGTGGGCGTTAGAGTGGGCGTGGGAAACTTTTTTTGGGTCAATCGATAGGTATTGACAAGAACAACACGTTTCAGTTAAAATTTTTATTCTAGCATCAAAACTGTAGGAACCACAGTTTTGGGCGGTTTGTTAGAGTGGGCGTGGCACTCTGCTGAAACAAACTTGCGCTGCGCAGGAATCTCAGGAATCTGCACGCCTAATCCCAGTATTGTAGCTTGTATAGTTTCCGAGATCTCAGCGTTCATACGGACAGACGGACAGACGGACGGACGGACAGACGGACATGGCTAGATCGACTCGGCTAGTGATCCTGATCTAGAATATATACACTTTATGGGGTCGGAAACGCTTCCTTCTGCCTGTTACATACTTTCCGACGAATCTAGTATACCCTTTTACTCTACGAGTAACGGGTATAAAAATTAATCATTCCCTTGTTATCTATCATGTTAGCTATTCACAATTTACTCAACGTATTGTAGCCATTAAGTTGGTTTATTGACGTTTAAATAAATTTATATGTTATACTAAAACAAAATTGGCTGGTCTATGTTTCATTCATTTCAGTTAAGTTGAGCTTAGGAAATACCAGAAAATTTACCATAGCGAGTGAAATTCGATGAACGCCGTTGGCCGCGCCCAAAGAATAAGAAATTTAATCTTTGGAGGTAATCTTTCGTGCAAAAGCGGTGTGGAAACAAAAAAATATTTATTTATTTTTTTATTTAATAAATTAAGCTAAGCATACAATGAATAAATTAATTGCAAAATTACCGAGCACTGGCTGCAGTGGCCTTCGAGTCTGGTTGTGATTTAATTATTCTACGTATTTATTAAGGTTAAAACAACAGGGCCGCTGGTGCACAAAGAAATTAAAATACAAATAGATGAAATGTTCAACGAATGTTTTTATTTATGTAAATTAGTAGTTCAAAGCTTCCTTCTCGTCCTACGGATGCTGGGCCATCTTTCCCGCGCCATCTGTAGTCCAACTCCGAGTCCCAATAGACATATTCGAACTTGAGGAAGTGGGAGCCGGATTGGGAACGGGGTTGTTCCGCCTGAAGCCGCATGAAGTCGCCCAGCATCGTGGTAATGGCTGGAGATGGCTACACCAGCTCCTCCTCCCTATAGAAGCCGGCGCGTCCCCCATCTCCCCTTTAGCTACCAAGTAGCTGGTGGAGGTGGAGTCCGGTGGTTTCTCAATAGAGAGCTCGTCGGAGATCGATCGAAGTCCCACTCGGCTTGTTCCTTCCCACTGGGATTCTCTAGTGGATCTCCTCCAGCTCTTCAACTGTTTTGCGGATTTGCCCTGTCGTGGTATTGCTTCCTGTCGGTGACATCCCACAATAATGGGCAACATCTTGGATTTGGCGTCCCTTTTCATCTGCCCTTACCTCCTTATGCGATTTTTGGGGTTTTTTTTCCACTTTTAATTTTTAAATTCCACACCGTTTTTGCACGAACACCGCCAAAGATTACATTTCTTATACTTTGGGCCGCGGCTAACGGCGTTCATAGAAATTCAGTCGCGAAATCTGGTATTTTTTCTGGTTTTTCGTTAGCTCATCTGAGTACCGCCCTGAAAAACAGACCGACGAAAAAGCGTTAGCAGCGTTTTTGTCTCTCGTTCACTCCTATGGTTAGCTCGCGGTTTTCGTCGATGTGGGTACTAGGCCTTAGGGGTTTTTTTTAAAAGGAACTGCAATGGCGCCGTTATAAGGACGAGTTAACCCTCTCTGGCATAGCGAACCACTGCCATCGCCAGTTTGACAGCTACAAAACTCTCCAACTTGACAACAATACAAACAAACACACGCAGTGCAGATCAGGCAGGCAAACGTATAAAATTCATTTTTAATTAAAAATTAAATTAAAAAGGAATTATTATTATTGTAGAAGAAGTCCTTGCTAACAGTCTCCAAAAAAAAAGCCGATACACACTCCCGACAAAACGGACTCACTTTCCACATATGGGACAACAAAAAACTTTGTGTGGAACGTGTATTTTTATTAGGAACGTACGAGACATTTATGTGGCTCCCCAGGCGGATGTTAGCCGAATAAGTTACTGCCTCCCGACGTTTGGAGCGCCACTGAGCCAGCTTCACATATCATGTATAAATCTGTGTCAAAAGTAAATTAATTTACAAGCAGATAGTCCGCCGCAACGACGTGTAAAATGAATAGTCCAAGCCTGGACCCAAACCATATTTTAAAATTCTCAGAATTAAAATTTATTTGTGAAGCCAGATACCAAAAATCTAACAGCGATAAAATCCGATAAATTATAGCGGCGCCTGGCTCTATAAAATATACTTTATATAATCCAGGTTCGTGTCACGACTGGAAAGAGGAGCGCCCTCTGGGATTCTTGATGTTGTCCGGATTTAGCGGTTTGTGGGGGAAATGTGGGTTGTGACTTTGATCTAGTATAAACACAAACCATATTTTAAAATTTCTCAGAAATTAAAAGAATCAAGCGTTGCCACTGGCAAATTAAAAGTATCCGTGCTGCCAGACCGGAAAAATGTTTATTTTCTAACAGCACTGTTAAGATGTATCAAAATCTAACAGAAATGTAAAGATGTATCAAAATCTAAAAGCACGTTCTGTTGCATATTAACATTCTTGGAAGAGGAAGAACACATGGCGCCTTGATTCAAAAATATTGCCAATTATTTTTGAGCGCTTCATTCTTGGTGATTTTTGCAACAACTTAGGTAAAATTTGACAAACTTTTACGCTCGAGGACGTACGAATTTGAAGGGAAATAATATTCTGCAGATAAAAGAAAAAAATTCAATTGAGAAGAAATTATTGCTAGCCAGGCTAAAAAAATCTTTTTTTAATATTCTTAGCCAAATACATGTACAGCGGAAGAAATACAGGCTCGACAATGGACCCAATATTTAAATATTATGGCCCGAAAAATAACTAAATCTTATTTTAATGTGATAAAGATTTGTTTGGCTTTGACTGCAGAAAAACAGCAAGCCGCGACAATAAATTAGAAAACGCGTATCTTTTTTTCATAACAAATACTTTGAAAATATATCAGCTTTTACAAATTTATTCTACGAATCGTTCTTTAAAAAATTAGACTATTTAAAATAACTTAACAGTTGCATTCCCGTTTTATAAAAACAGTGCGTTCTATGACCCATATGAAAAATTATTTTACATATATATTAAGCGGAGTTAAGTTAACTAATTTGGCCACAAAAGTTGATATCAGAACATTTGTACGTTAAATGTGCGATCGTCACCCTTCTACTTTACGAGTAACGGTTATAATTATTCAACAGATAAATCTCGGATTCTGGTTATACCAACTATGTAACAGGTAGAAGAAAGCGTTTCCGAACGCATAAGGTATATACATTTTTGATCAGGATTACTAGCCGAATCGATCTAGCCTTGTCCGTCTGTCCGTATAAACGCTGAGATCTCGGAAACTATAAGAACTTTAAAGGTGTGATTTGGCATCCCGATTTAAGAGCTTCTTGCGCACCGCAAGTTTATTCAACAGGATGCTACGTTCACTATAACGCCACAAACGTCCATATCGCTAAAATACATGTAGCAAATTTGTTAATATTTTGTAAAAGTATAAATCAAATATTGTTTTGATTATCAATATCCATTTTTTAAAAAGTTAAACGCATATAAAATGTGCAATCTTGGGAACAGTTGCTTTGTTCCTTGCATATCTACATTTCCCTCGCACTCTTCTTAGTTGAGGTAGTTGATGGCATCGACTATAGCGTCCTTTTGTTTTTTTTATTCCCCCTAATAAAAAAATTGAAGTATCGAAAAATCGTTCTTTGTTGTAATTAAATATCTAGATAATATAAGTGCACAAATCAATGCAGACACACTCAAAAAATCAATTAAAAAACTTTAAATTCAGAAGTAAAATCTGGAAACAGGACGTTGACGTAAATGTGTCTGCGAAACATAGCCATAAATAAGTGGTAACAAAATGCACATTCTAAAAAAATTTCATGAAAAAATACATGCTTTTCTACCATTAGTGGACCGGTTCAATTACTTATGTATGTATAATCTAAAATAATAAATAATGACACATACAAAATTTTTAACGTTTAAAAGAAGCTAGAAAGACAGCGCAGCAAATAAATATCACGGATAAAATTTGATGTGCGTGCACGACAAAATCGTACGAACGAACCCTAACTAACTAAAACACTTTTAAAAATCAACAAATGCGTGGACTAACACATATTTGGCTTCTATTAGCCTCCTTGCAGCTCCCGGCCCGAGATCATTATTGGGGGACCTTGGGTGCCGGCCCCTCCCCCAGCTCTTCCCCCTCAACCCCCTGACCCCGGCGCTTGGCCAGGTTGAGGTCCCGGGCCTCCTCCATGGTCGTGGGAAGCACCTTGTCCGCCGTCTCGGGGAAGGCTAGGGTCAGGAAGCCGCTGATCAGAGCAAAGGTAGCGAATAGTATCTGCGGGGCATAGACATAGTATTTGGCCTGGAAGAGGTAATGGCATGGGTTAGGAGATTATTCGTAGAATAGGTGAATCCATTCTAACCAGTAAAGGTGTTTGCGGAGCCAACATGGAGCCAATGCGTCCCACCATGGAGCAGAGCGACAGAAGGCTGTTCCGCACGTTGGTGGGAAAGATTTCAGATGTAAAGAAGTACAGGATCTGGAAGCTGCAAGTGATGGCCAGCTTTCCGAATAGGAACAGAGTCAGAGAACCCGCGTAGTTATCTGAAAAAAGGGAATATATAGAGGTATTGAGAAATTTATGGTTAGTTAGGGAGAAAGTGTTACCTTCTGGCACACCCGCGGAGGCGGCCATGCAGATGGCACAGAGCAGCATTGAGGCGCAGAGCGAGTAGCGCCTGCCAACGCGATCCATGATGACCAAGGGCAGCAGCAGGCCCGGGATCTGGATGAAGCCGTTCAGCATAAAGTTGGTGTACTTGTTGCCGCCCAGGTTAACCGAGTTGAGGCTAAGTCCCAGGGCGATCAGCGTGTGGGTGAACCAGCAAAGGCAGCAATTGGCGATCCGCAGGGAAAAGAAGCGCACGGCCCTCATGATCGGGTACTGGCTCTCGTTGGCCTGGCTGAGCTTCTGTCGGTTGGAGGCCAACAGCTCCTCAACCTGCTCCTCGGGCAACGATCGCTTGTTGATCCGTGCGGCCCGCCGCAGGACGTTGGCGGCCTTCTCCTCGGCGCCCTGGCTCAGCAGCCACCGAACACTCTCCGGCAGAATCCACAGAAACAGGATCTGTAGCACGGCGGGGGCGTAGAGCACTCGGAGCAGCCACCGCCAGTGTTGCACCTGGGAAGCCAGGAACCCGAGGAAGGCCTCCCCGAGAGCGTAGAAGATGGTGATAATCGTGGCCGCTGCCACTCGCCGCTTGGGACCCACCAGTTCGATGGCCAGCAGGAAGGCGGTGGGGAAGAGGGTGCTGCCCACGGCCATGTCCAGGAACTCGAACACCAGGAACATGGAGTAGTTGCTCGACAGCGAACGAATCACGCCCATTAAGGCGCTCAGGGAGCCGGCTACAGCAAGCATGGTGCGGCGACCGAACCTGGGGTATAAGTAGAGGCAATTGGATTGGATCAACTCTGGGCAAGTCAGGAACTACTTACCTATCTGCGAAGAATCCTCCAAGAGGTATGCCGACAAACTGGCCCACATTGTTTATGGTGCCCACCATGGAAAGCTTCCACTCGTCACTACAGTATATTCCGAACTGTTTGGGTATAAAATGAATAAGTTGTTGGCAAACTTTCTATAATTTCTTGTAATTTCATTGGTTAATTCATTTAAATAAGAACCTAACATTTTTTTTTAAGTATTGAGTACAGGGTACTAATAAAAAGCACACTATGGATGCAAAACAAACTTTGTGTAATGTTTTGGTCAAGGAACTAAATTACATTTTTCATTCCTGAGCTTACAAATGCTAGCACGTTTACTTATAGTACGTGCTAAAATTACTGATAATTAATCTCTAACCTATGGGCATTATATTTATTGTCCAGTTAAAAAGTGTGAGCAAGCCCATTAAAATATAACCATAATATAGAAAAAAGCAATTAGGGTTCTCAAATATTAGCAAGTAATTTGAACAACCATGTTAAGTCACGCACGCTATTCAGCACTTAAACTTTCTGCTGATTAACTCAGCACTGCCCACTTCCGGCTCACAAGAGTACCTTCTTAAGTTCCTATCAAGACTTTGCAGCTTTTTAATTACTCCCTTATCAGGGATACCCACCTCAGTTGATATAGTCTTTTCCTCGTCCCTGAACTTAAAGTCATGTCCGCAGGTCTCCGATACCCCGCTAAAATAGTCCTTGTCGCAGTAACTTGAAGATGGATCAGTGATCAGAGTCTCGTTGAACGCGTAGCGATGGCAGGCATCCAAGGCGGAGTTCTTGTAGGGGATGGTAAAGTTCAGCCAGTCTTCCTCGTACACTGTGCTGAGACTATCGCACTGCGGGACGTTGCACCTGAGGCAAGTCGGAAGTCTTAGGATTGGCTATATTATTTCACGGATGGTTTGCTTACCTGTGGACCACTGTGCTCGCCGTGAAAACATAGGAGATGGAGAAGAACGCGTTGAAGAGCATGGGAATGCAGAGCAGAACATAGTTGATGATCTGATAGCGCCCGAACTGGCCGATCCGCACCAGAATTGCGTCCAGCGAGTTGTCGTCATCCGCGCCAGCCGTCGCCGCCTCCGGGTCCGAATGTCCATTGCTCTTGGCATCGCTCGGAGAGCTGCCGTTTCCCTCCTTTTGGCTGGTCATTGAAGGGTCCGCCAGGCACGTGGTGAAATGCACTTCTAATCGGTGTTTTATAACTCGCGACCGCGATCTTTCCGCTTTGGCAGCTTTATTTATAGACGCTCTGGAGCGACTCGCTGGGAGCAGTGCCACTCATTGACTGATTCAACCACATCAACTGGTCGGGTTGGGAGCGCTCTGCTGTGTTTTGATTCGGCGCTCCCATACCTCTTTCCGATTACCGCTCTCTCGCGCGTTTCTATTTTTATTCCGTCTGCTTTTCTCCATGCCACGGATTCTTCCCTTCTTATCGCGGTCTTATCAGGCCCCAATCCAATCCTAAAACTATTTGCGCTCCCCGACGATGGGAGTACCTCGAAAATCACCATCCTAATCCGTTAAGTTCTGAATGGGTTAGCACCATACCGTTTATATCAATCGAACTGGTTTCGCTGCTATTGCTTATCTATCAGGCGGCGAGACAGGCCGTCTGGTTGTGGGTGGCCAACAGCTGTTCCCGCCTGTTAACTGATTGCTCCACTGGGTCAACAAGTGGCCCGACCTGGCCAGCGGCGCCTTATCTTACCCTATTTGCCCGATGTCATTGACTTTGGCGCATGTGTCTGAGACCTCTGTTTGCCTTTACACTTGATTTACTTTACCCGACTATAAGATGATTAAGTGCGGAAACAGTATACACAAGTCCACAGGCGGGCTGGCATTCGATCGCTTGGGCTGCCGAGCAGATTGATAAATCAATGATAAGTTCCGATGAAGCCACAATAAATGGGAGCTAGTGAGTTATTGGCGCGCTGATAGGGCCCGATTGCAAAGGGAATTAGATAAGTACTTGAGCTGAATAAATATTTATTTTGTTAGGCCACTTGAACGAAAATCAATTCCCAATAACAAATAATCTACGCAGGATCAGATGAATACATACACAAGTAGGAAAGTGTAGCCAAAATTAGTCATCTCACGACGTATGCAGTAGTATTACCACGCAGACGATTTTTTTACCATTACAGAGGGTATTATGATTTCAGTCAGAGGCTTGCAACGCAGTGAAGGAGACGTTTCCGACCCCATAAAGTATAAATATTCTGGGTCAGCATTACTCAGTTTTCTCTCAGTTTTAAAACTATTCCAAAAAGTGTTCCTTCTTTTGCAGGTAGTACATAAGTCGAAACCAGCCGGATAAATCTTAATTTTTTTTTTTTTTTTTTTTTTTTTTTTTTTAGTATAACAAATTCATTTGTTTAACGTTGATAAGCCAACCTAATGGCTATAAAACGTTGTGTACGAACAGAAATAGTTAGCATAGAAACATAACAGAAAAGTATTAACAATATTTACAATGATTGAACAAAAACAATTTTATTGACTTAGGACTCGAGAGATCTGACGTCCTCTTGTCCAGATCACCGGGGTGCCTTCGCTTCAGTCTTCTTCTAGTCCTTGGGTGGGCCAAGGAGGCTGCTAGGTGGTTTATGTGTGTGGTGAGGCGATCATTGTACCGACTAGAGTGCCGGTTTGTCTGCTCCCTGACTGAGGGATAGGTTAGTTGTTAGGGCGAGGTGAGGTGCTTCCAGGTGAGCCGCTTGTCCAGGATCAAGCCCAAATATTGCGCATGGGGTGATTGTGGGATGGTGATGTCGAGAAGCTCTACTCTGGGAAGGATCTTTGCTCTCAAGGTGAAATTGCAGTGTTGCGACTTTCTTCCATTTATGGATATGTTCCATTTATTTGTCCACTTCCCGTAAGAGTCGAGGAATTCCTGGGTAATCCTTGACGCTTCGATTGGGCAAGAGGCGTTCGCAATAAAGGCAGTGTCGTCAGCGTATGTAGCCAGAATCGTGCCCGGCTTGTTAGGACACGACAGATCTGAAGTGAACAGAGTGTACAAAACGGGGCCCAGAACGCTTCCCTGAGGAACGCCAGCTCGAACCATTCTGATTCTTGACCTTTCCCCTCTCACCTCGACCTTGAAACTTTGGTCAAGCAGGTATGATTTTAGTAGGAGGAAATGGCTAGTTGGGAGTAGGGACTTCAACTTATAAAGTAAGCCATCGTGCCACACGCGGTCGAAAGCTTCCTTAACATCGAGGAAAATTGCAGAGCTGTATTGCTTGTTTTCAAAAGCATCTAAGATATGCTGGACAACTCGATGTGCTTGCTCTGGGGTTCCATGATGATGCCTGGTGGTCGGGAATGGCATCCTGCACGCTTCTTACTCCCATGATTCTGCTAAGAAATGTTCTTTCGAATATTTTTTTTTTTTTTTTTTTTTAAAGTGTATATTTATTCAGGATTAACAGGTATACTGCTACCTATGTGGCAGCTTGAGCAGGTTGTAAAACGAATATTGTAGAGAATGTGGGTAGCAAGCTTATCGGTCGGTAAGACTGGACAAGGTTCTCCGGTTTTCCTGGTTTTGGTATCATCGTTATCACAGCACACTTCCATTGAGAGGGAAAGTGGTGGATACGTAGCATTGAGTTGAACAGGAGAACAAGGAACAGGATTCCCTTTTTAGGCAAAGCCTTGGCAATTCTGCTATCGATGCCATCAAAGCCCGGCGCTTTTCTAGGATGTAGCTTTTGGATATGGAGACAAACTTCTTCTGGGCTTACGTGTTGGATTGGTAAGGCATTCGGGGAAGGGGCATCAAGGAAGGCAAGAGTTTCTTCAACATCCTCGCGGCTCGCGAGTTCAAATGGCTGGAAGCGTTTTTCAAGTTCGTCTGCAAATGCTAAAGAAATTTCCGAGTCGGACCTGCACCATGTGTCCTCAGATTTCTTTATGGGGATCTTTCGTAGGGGCTGTCGTTTCATATTCCGTGTGCATTTCCAGAAGTTAAAGCCGTAAGGTTTGGTGGGGTCAGCATTTAGGAGCATCTCATCAAAATATTTCCGTTTGGTTTCATAAAGAAGCTTTTTAAGATCATCCTCCGCTCGTCGATATGCACTTTTGTCGACAGGATCTTGAGATCTCATAAATCTGCGACGTAGGGAGCGTTTCAGCCTTACCAGGTCCATAATCTCATGTTTTAAAGGAGCCTGAGGTGGACTGGAGGGCTTTGAGCTTGAGGTTGAGGACTCGGCAGCGATATGGATGATCCGGACAAATAGCTCGACGGCGTCGTTGATGGCGTCAGGAGAGCGTAACACCATATTTAGGCTCACAAGCCGGTTGACTGCTTCTTGAAAGCGTGGGAGGCTCGCATTCCGAGGAAGGATGCAAGGCCTTCGGGAAGTTTTTTGCGCAGCGACTCTTAGTTTCACAATCAATGGGATGTGATCAGAGCTCAGTTCAAGAGTTTCTGAGATGGAGAGACTCTCGGGCCGAATCCCTCTGTAGACAGCAAAGTCAATGGCGGTTGGCGTTCTTTGACTGTACGGATAGTGTGTAGGCCCTCCGGTTGCAAGGACCTGGACATTTGATCTTTGAATGTAGTCTGCTAGTGCTCTTCCGCGGGTGCTTGAGTTACGGGATCCCCAGAGACGGTGGTGTGCATTCCAGTCTCCTGCGATTATGAAATTGTTTCCCAGATCGTCGAAGAGTTTTTCAAAGTCGTCAGCAGTACATTGAAAGTTTGGTGGACAATAGATAGACGCAATAGCTGTTTCACCAAGGTCTGTTTTAACTTTGACGGCGACACATTGAACATTTGGGCTTTGTAGACTATAAAACTGGTAACATTGAAGACAGGATTTTATTAAAATTGCAGAGTCACCGCGTTTCCGATCAGCCGATCAGCCGATCAGACCTCGAGCAGAAGTGTGTTTCGCTAACAAACATAATATCAATATTATGACATTTTACAAAGAGCTCAAGCTCAAGGGCTTTGTTGGCAAGTCCGTCAGCGTTCCACACATTAATGTTGAGGCCGATTTGACTCATGGTTGTGCAACATTGACTGGGAGAAACTCAGCGAATGCTTGAGCAGTTGCATGGAACAATATCTTACGTAGAAACGGACGGACAGACGGCCAGACGGACAGACGGACATGGCTAGATCGACTCGTCTAGTGATGCTGATCAAGAATATATATACTTTATGGGGTCTGACTGAAATCAATAACCCTCTGCAAGGGTATACAAATTATATCTTTGGTGTTTTTTGTCAAAAAACCTCCTACGCTTGGAAATAACATTTTATAATTAACTCTGAATTTCGAATTTCATTTTATTAAAATCGGGCGACTATATCAATAGCTGCCATAGAAACGATCGAAAAATTGAAAAATAATATGAAACAAAATATAGCTTCGGTGTTTTTGACATATTATCTTATACTATTGGGAATATAATTTTATGTATCTTTTGTAATAATTATAAGTGCAAGGGTATACAAACTTCGGCTTGCCGAAGTTAACTTCTTTTCTTGTTATATTTAGTTTTTAGTTTTATAAAAATCGGAATGCTCTGTCCATGCAATGCTCCCACGGGAACAACCTGCAAGGGTATAAAAACTTCCGCGTGTCGAAGTTAACTTCTTTTCTTGTTTTTATTTTTTTTTATAAAAAGTGTATATTTATTCAAAAATAACTGGTATACTGCTACCTATGTGGCAGCTTGAGCAGGTTGTAATATAGGGGATAACAAAATGTTGGTATACAAGATTGTACATTAACCCTGTTTAATTTACGTTTTAATTACATTAGACTTCGAACATGTTAAATATATCTTAATTGAAGGTCATGTGGGTGGTATCTTTTAAGTGTTCTTTTTGCAGATCCATGTTAGCCTCTTTGCCAGGGAGTTAGGATGAGAGCCAAGACGTCTGAAGTAGTTTCTTACTTCAGCGTACGACATAAATCGCCAATCTTTGGGACTTTAAGATCTCTTTCTATGTCTATAGTTCTTATAAGCCAGGGGGCATTAAAAATCGATCTGCTTTGCGCCACTCGTATAGATTTATAAATGCGAACTTTGTTGGACAGTGAGAGCTTATTTCTTGGACATAGAAGCCAGGACATACTTGCTGCCTTTGAGAGCACAGACTGCTTTACCATCGTTGTGTGCCTCTGGAAAGTGAGTCCTCTATCCAAAATCACACCAAAGTACTTGTAGTAGGACTCGTGCCGAAGTACAGAGCCGAGCATGGAAATGCCTGAGCAATTCTTTGGCCTTGTGGAGAATGTGACACACACACATTTTCTGAAGTTAGTGCCTATACTCCATTCTGTAGTCCACCTTTCAAAACGTGTCACGTACTCCTGCAGGCCCAAGGTTGCAATATCTATACTTGGACTCCTGACCATAACCGCAGTTTCGTCGGCGTATGTTGCGATGAGCATGTTGTCATCATCAACTTCGGTACAGCCCCAGAAATCTGGCATTTCCGTCGTATAAAGTGAGTAAAGAGTCAAGCCTGCCTTGGGGTACACCCGCTGAGATTGGACGTTTTGACGACTTTTCACCATCGACAATTACACTAAATTTTCTG